AGGCCCGGGCCAGGTTCAAACCCACCAGCCCTGGTGTATGTGGCTGGCGCCCTCACCACTGAACTATGGGCACCAAGTCAAAAGATTTTCTTTTAAGGTCCTTGCCAGAGCTCATGCCAGTAATCCCTGCACTCTGGGAGGCTAAGGCAGGAGGATCACTTGAGCTCAGGAGTTTGAGACCGCCTGAGCAAAGGGAGACCCTGTCTCTACTAAAACTAGGCAGATTAGCCAGGCATTGCAGCTGGTGCCTGTAGTCCCAGCTACTCAGGAGGCTAAGGCAGGAGAATTGCTTTGAACCCAGGAGTTTGAAGTTGCCATGAACTAGGCTGATGCCAGGACACACTAGCCTGGGCAACAGAGTGAGACTCTTATCTCAAAAAAAAAAAAAAATATCCAGCTTTCTTGTATTAGCTGTGTGGTCATGAGAAATCTTTAGCCTCTGGGGACCTCCATTATCTTGTCTGTAAAATAGACTTAGGGTGGGACCATCTCTCCAGCCAAAGGGTATTCTGTAAGAGTGGCATCCCATTCTCTTTCCTTTCAGAGCAGAGGCATTATCTCTGCATCCCGCCCCTCCCTCTCCAGGACAGCAGCTTTGGTCCAGCTGGAAGGATCCCCTGTCCCTCCAACCCTGGCTTCTCTCCCTCCCTGCCAGCACACCAGCTATCTCAGGGAAGCACCAAAGCTCACTTAGAGTTTAGATTCCAGTCCTGCCATTTCCTTGACTGTGTGCCCTTGGGATGAGCCACTCAACCTCTCTGAGCCTCGCCCACAGGTATGGAGGAATGATGATACCTGTTTCACAGGTTGAGTGTGAGGATTGAGTGAGATGGGTTACAAGCCTGAAAATGAAGCCTGGAAGACAGTGCTTCCTCATAGACAGGCCCAGTAGAGGGACCTGGGGGCCATGACGGGACATAGAGAACCACGGGCCCCACTTCTTCATGTCATCTGTTAACTAGATTGGACTTTGGGTAAACTTTGCTCAGTGTAATTTGGAAAGGTCACATAAGCACAGATTGGCCTAGCCCAAGACTTCCCCACAGAACTTTCTATGATCTGCACTGTCCAGTCAAGTAGCCACTATTCACATGTAGCTACTGGACACTTGAAATATGCTTAGCCAGTCTAAAGAACTGAGTTTCTAATTTCATTCAGTGTTAACAATTTAAATCTAGATGTACATAGCTGCATGCCATGTGGCCAGGGGCTTACTATATTGGATGCCCAAGGTCACAGTCAGTGAAAGACCCAGAGCCCAGGCCTCCTGCCTCCTCTTACAGCTGGTCTGCTGCAGACCATGACAGGCTCAGGAAAGGACAATAGAGACCCTCTCCAGCAACATTTGTCCCAGATTGAAGTAAACAAAGAACAGGAACAGGCTGGAGCATTTGCTCTGGAGCCCCCACAGGGTTTGGCATCCCACTCAGGAAGTGTGGCTGTCCTCGGCCAGCCTGTCCTGGCACCTTGGCTACAGGCAGGCCCAAGCCGGGTTGGTAAAGGAGGGGGCCCGCCTGGGGCAGTCACCATCACAGCAACCCTTTTCCTGACAAGCACACGGCCCCTAGCCCTGGCTCTGACAGAGAAGGCTGCATTAGGCAGCAGCCAATCACATTTCTGCAACTCACACACACACTCCACCTGCTCATTCTCCACCTGCCCCTTCAGAGGTACCCAGGTGGAGGATCAAATTAATCCCCTTCTTTATCCGGAGGCTAGCGCTCAAATCTCCACCTACCTGGGGAGAATGGGCACAGAGTTACGGGTGAGGCTGAGTGACATCCAAGCCCTCAGGAGCAAGAGTATGGCACCTCTCTCCAGCCATCTGCTCCCAGCCCGATCTGGCCTGTGTGCGCTTTGCCGGAGCAGACGCTGGGAGGTAGTGCTCCGAGCACCTGGAGACCAGGTGGGCCCGATTTGCTGCCTCATTCCCTTAGTGTCTTCTCTCCTTCCTTCATTCTCTCTCTCTTTCTGTGCCCCCCTCGCCCCTTTTCTTGCCTTCTCCATTGTTCACATAAACTTTTATCAAAGTGTAACATACATACTGAAAAGAACACAAATCATGAATTTATAGCTTGTCAAATTTTCACAACATATCTATGTGACGGTCCGAAGATCAAGAGACAGAACATACCTGTGCCATAGAATGCCCTTCATGCCCCCTCTTGGGCCACCCTCTGACTGCTCTAGCCACAAATTTGTTTTGCCTGTCTATAAACTCACCTACTTCTTTCACTAACGTTAAGTTTGTAAGATTCATTCATGTTGTCAAGATGGGGTCTCTCTTGCTCAGGCTGGTTTTGAACCGTTGAGCTCAGGCAATCCACCTGCCTCAGCCTCCCAGAGTTTTGTGTCTTGTTTAAAGAAA